CTGATGTGTCATTGCAAAAGATTTTTTCCCATTCTGTGGGTTCCCTTTTTGCTCTTCTGGTGAAGTCTTTTGATGCACATAAGTTTTTAATTTTTAATATGTCCCAATAATCTATTTTGCCTACTTTTGTTTGTGTAGTTTTCAAAATGTTTGGTAGTCTGTGGATTAGTGCCCTCACATTTGTCCCTAATTTTTCATTGATGGCCTTAATAATTTTGGGATTCACATTTAGGTCTTTAATCCATGCTGAGTTGGTTTTTGTATAAGGCATGAGGTAAAAGGTCTTGTTTCAATCTTTTGCATATCACTTTCCAGTTCTGCCAGCACCATCTGTTGAAGAGACTATCAGCTCCCCATGTGATATATTTAGGTACTTTGTCAATAATCAGTTGGCTGTATGTGGATGGGTTAATTTCTGGATTCTCGATTCTGTTCCATTGATTAATATATCTTTCATTGTACCAGTACCAAGCTGTTTTGACAACTGTAGCCGTGTAATAAATTTTGAAGTCAGGAAGTGAGAGGTTTCCAACCTTATTCTTTTTCTTAAGCAGTGCTTTGCTTATCCTGGGTGTCTTTCCTTTCCATATAAAGTTTATAATTGCTTTTTCCATCTCTTTGAAGAATGTTGTTGGAACCCGGATTGGGATTGCATTGTATGTGCAAATTGCTTTGGGTAGTATTGACATTTTCTCAATGTTAAGTCTTCCTATCCAGGAGCATGGTACATTCTTCCATTTTTGTAGGTCTCTTTTGGTTTCTTGTAGTAATATTTTGCAGTTTTCTTTGTATAGCTCCTTTGTTTCTCTGGTTACATTTATTCCTAGATACCTCATCCTTTGGGTGTCTATTGTAAATGGTATTGCTTTCCTAATGTCCTTTTCAATGCTGTCATTTTTGGTATAGAGGAATCGAGCCAATTTTTGTATGTTGATCTTATATCCCGCCACTTTGCTGAATCTTCCTTCCAATGAGGTCTAGTAGCTCTTTTACATAGTCTTTGGGGTTTTCTATGTATAGGAGCATATCATCTGCAAACAGAGAGAGTTTTACTTCTTCTTTGCCAATCTGGATGCCTTTAATTTCCCTGTCTTACCGTATAGGTCTTGCTAAGACTTCCAGCACAATATTGAACAGGAGTCGTGACAAAGGGCATCCTTGTCTGGTTCCTGTTTGCAGAGGGAAGGCTTTCAGTTTCTCTCCATTCAGAGTAATGTAGGCTGTTGGTTTTGTATACATGCTCTTAATTATGTTGAGGAATTTCCCTTCATTTCCTACTTTGTTGAGTGTTTTTTTTTGTTTTTTGTTTTTAATCAGGAATGGATGTTGGATTTTGTCAAATGCCTTTCTGCATCAATCAATATGATCATGTAGTTTTTTTCTTTTGTCTTATTTATATGGTGGATTACATTGATCGTTTTTCTAATGTTGAACCATGTTTGCATCCCTGATATGAATCCCACTTGATCATGATGT